ACTGTTAGGAAGTTTCTCCTTAATTCCAGGTTGCTTTTCTCCTTGATTAGTTTCCATCCATTGTTTCTTGTCTTGCCTTCTGGTGCTTTGGAGAATAGGTTGACCCCCTCTTCTTTGTGGCAGCCCTTCAAATATTGGAACACTGCTATCATGTCACCTCTAGTTTTTCTTTTCACTAGACTATCCATACCCAATTCCTGCAACCATTCTTCACATGTTTTAGCCTCTCTTAAAACTTAAATGCATAACTTCCTCCCCATGGGCTGGGATGAGGAACAAACAGCTTCCTAAATCTTTTTCTTTTCTCTCCTAAAATAACCAATGAAAAGATAACAATGGAATAAGCCATAGCATTCAGTGGCTCTAATGGATGGGCCAAAGGGAATTTTAGTAAAATACATCTAGGAGCACAGAGGTGGGAAAGTTAACCTACGGAGAAATAGAAGAGAATTAAAATTATCTTACCCTGCGCCCTGCCTCGTTGTTCTGTAGGTTCATGAGTATACGGGCCTGCTCTTCTGATCCCTTGGCATAGTTCCTCTCCCTTTCTCTGGCATCCACAAACTCTTTGGCAAACCGGTAGCCATATTCCACATTGTCCCCACACCCACCCCAAAGCCAGTCCCGGGGCAGGTCCTTGGGTCGGGCTGTCCGGCTGCAGCCACAAGTGGAAAGCTCTCCTTCACGGCAGGCGCGGCTGATGGCGTTCACAACTCCTGCAGCACTGACAGCATACGCGAAGGCAGTTTCTCGGCTACCTGAGGGAAAGAGAAGAGATCATTGAAGTCACAAACGTTAGTGGTCCTTTTGGTCTCTACTGGAAACATAGCCTTTCCCAATGTGGGTCCCTCTAGGATTGTAGAAGTTACAAATATATTCTAAATAGAACTTGACTTACAACAGTTCATTTAGTGACTATTCGAAGTTATAATGGCACTGAAAAAAGTGACTTGCCCATTTTTCACACTTATGACAGTTGCAGCATCCCCGCAGTCACAATGATCAAAATTCAGACGCTTGGGCAACTGATTCACATTTATGACAGTTGCCGTGTCCTGCGGTCACTTGAACAGTTTTTGCAACCTTCTGACAAGCAAAGTCAATGGGGAAGCCAGATTCACTTAACCACCGTGTTACTGCAGTGATTCACTTAACAACTGTGGCAAGAAAGGTCATAAAATGGGGCAAAACTCACTTAACAAATAACTAAATTAGCAACAAAAAAGTTGAGCTCAATTATGGTTGTAAGTTGAGGACTATACCATTTTGGACAGGGAATTCTAGATTCAAAACAACTGGAAGGAGTCAGATTGGGAAGATTGTTCTATCAAATTCCACATGTCACTTATAGCTCAAACATATTTCATCTCTCCTCCCATAATTTCTTCAGTTTCTTCCAGTACAAGAACAACTTTCAGTTCTCCTTGGTTTTGTGTTCCTGGATAAACATCAGCTAACAACAGTTAGACTGGTACTCTGAAAAGAAAGGTACCATCTGTTACATCCACCAATCCTCAGAGTATTATCACGGCACCATTCCTCTCTGAAAAGACATCCATACTCAGACTTTTGGGAATTGAGACTACCAAAGAGATAAATGAATTGAGATGACCTTTCCCCTGAATAAAACAAATGACTGAATTGGAGTTAAATAAACCTTCCATACATTTTAATCCATATATCTAATAGAATAATGATAAAACTACTCTATATAACTACATAAGACGAAAACATTTTCATTAATACTTAAAGAGATTAGAAAGAAAGAAAATATACGAGTGGGAAACAAGATTGATGATGGACATGTTTCAGCCAAAGCAGTGCAGTTTTTGCACACTAGAATGAGACTAACTTCTAAAGATGATGTAGGAATAGGCCCAGTACATTCCATGGAACTTCCTCCCAAACAGTAAGTGTATAGGATTGCGCTAATGAAAGCAATATGATACAATAGTGAAAAGGTTGCACTTAATTGGGAAACATTACCCGTAGATATAAAACCTGGCTCAGCAGCAACATTCATAGATAATAAGGGGCAAATCATTCACAATTTAACCTGCCTTTCAGGAATGCTGAATGGATAAAAATGTCTTTCTGAATTCTGTGTATTGTGTGTTTGTGTGTGTGTGTGTGTGTGTGTGAGAGAGAGAGAGAGAGAGAGAGAGAGAGAAAAGAAGAAGAAGAAGAAGAAGAAGAAGAAGAAGAAGAAGAAGAAGAAGAAGAAGAAGAAGAAGAAGAAGAAGAAGAAGAAGAAGAAGAAGAAGAAGAAGGTGTTAGACGATTCCAACTCACATTTATATCTTGAGGGGTGTGACTGCATAACTAATAATGATCTACAAAATCTCCACTATTTAATGTTAACAAGTGAAGAAAGGTTGCTTTCTATTTTCAAATTTCTTTCAGGATTATGGAGCCAGGGTGTATAGATGCAAGGGAAAGTTAGAAATAAGAAGAGAAAGCAGGAGTCCTGTTCTATTTGCAACCTAGGTGCTTTGTTTCTAAATAGCTGTTGTTGGAAGTCAAAACTCAACCAGCTACAGACATGAAGCAGTTACCAATAGATTTGGGGGAACCAAAAATTTTCCAAGATGGCAAAAGGGTATAATAAAATGCCCTCTCTAGCATCCAAGGAAGCTCTTGAGAGACTGCTCTCAGGAATAAGAGTTCCTTGTGCCAATTTATTTTGCTTATGGATTGTACAACATGGGAGGAAGTTGTTAGAACAGGGGCAGAATTTTATCTTTGAGGTTTTGTTACATGATGCAGATGGAATAGGCAGAAATCGGAAACTGCCAGTAGCTATAGCAAATGTCATGACTGATCCAGGTCGGAAGCTCCAAATGATGAATGATATTTTTTGTTTAAAATTGAAAAGATGCCATCAAGTTGTGTTTGACTCTTAGTGACTGCAACAATTCAACCTTCTTGGCAGTATTACAGACACAGATATATCCAAGATATATAATAATAATAATAACAATAACAATAACAATAATAATAATAATAATAATAATAATAATAATAATAGTAGTAGTAGTAAAGTTAGAAGGGCCCTTGGAGGTCATCTAGTCCAACCCCCTGCTCAGGCAGGAAACCCTATACCATTTCGGACAAATGGCTGTCCAGTCTCTTCTTAAAAACCTCCAGTGTTGGAGCATTCACCACTTCTGGAGGCAGGTTGTTCCACTGGTTAATTGTTCTAACTGTCAGGAAGTTTCTCCTTAGTTCTAGGTTGCTTCTCTCCTTGATTANGGAAACCCTATACCATTTCGGACAAATGGCTGTCCAGTCTCTTCTTAAAAACCTCCAGTGTTGGAGCATTCACCACTTCTGGAGGCAGGTTGTTCCACTGGTTAATTGTTCTAACTGTCAGGAAGTTTCTCCTTAGTTCTAGGTTGCTTCTCTCCTTGATTAGTTTCCACCCGTTGCTTCTTGTCCTGCCTTCAGGCGCCTATATATATTTTTTTACTTCCAGTTCTAATGTTCAACTCTGGGATTCCAATCCAAGTGCTATATTTATGGTAGACCTGCTTACCTTCTGAGATCACCGAAGGTTGACTAGCATTGTAACCTGCTGAATCCATATAGAAGAAATATCTGCCTATCCCTTTTGGATAACTGTGGAGAGTTATTCCACTTCGTTTACATATCATTCTAATTTATTTAGCTTTGGTTTATTACCCTGTGTGAATTTAGTCAACTGTAGTTTATAATACATTCAGACAATTATGGTTTATCCAATAAACTAATCTGGCAAACTATTTCTAACATGTGATTTCCAGTTACTGGGTTAAAAATATTACATTAGGATCAGTTCGGCAGTTCAAATCTTACAAGGTTGACTCCGCCTTCCGAGGTCAGTAAAACGAGGACCCGGATTGTTGGGGGACAATATGCTGACTCTGTAAACCGCTTAGAGATGGCTTTCAAGCACTGTGAAGCGGTATATAAGTCTAAGTGCTACTGCTATCAGATTGTAACAGTGTGTACAAAATAACTGATAACTATCTTTAACAAGTATAACAAATTGGCACCTAACAACAATCTCAACTAAGCTATAGATGCACTGCAAGAATATGAATTTTGATGTTGAAACTCCTATCAAACTTTACATTAGCGGTGCTAGTTAGGATAGCTAGAACTCAGAAAACCCACTGCCAACAAACATAGATAGGGTTCAGTGATTGAAGCAAGACTAAGAGATTCCAAACCAGCCCCATGAAGACCAAAAAAAATACTATACAGTAGTAGAAAAAAGCTCTACTTACTTGACAGATTGCCTCGATGACTGAAAAAAAAATGACAAAGACTTTTCTTGGTCTCTCAATAACCTTACAAAGCTAATCCTTTACACAGAATAAATATATTCTTACCCTCCTGATATTTAGTGACTCCTCAGATTCATATGAATCTAAACTAAGTGGGCTAGCCGCAACTAGATCTACTTAAAGCCATATTTGCCATAATCACAAAAAAGTTGAGGAGGGGGCATCCAGCTTACACTAGTATTTTTTTTAATATTCAGTACTATTTCATTGATATATTTTATTCAATATTATGTGCCATGTTCTCTCCTTCATATTCTATCCTCACAGGAACCCTGAGTGGTTAGCTGATAAATAGAATGGCAATGACTGCCTAGAGCATAGGTGTCAAACTCGCCACCTCACGTGATGTGTCCCGACTCTTTTTACATTGCCGGCAATGGGGTGGGCGCGGTGAAACCAGCCCGGCAGTTTGATACTCCTGGCCTAGAGAAACCCTGTAAGTTTCAGGCTGGGAAACTGAACCTGTTGCTGTTAAATAACAGTGGAACTTGGGGGGGGGGGGGAATCAATGCATTTAATTCCACTGTGGCTCATCTCTTCATAGTTTCTCTCTCCAGCTTACAGTTTCTTGAACCAGATCCCTCACTTGTGTTTTCTTCATAATTTGTAATCTATCTGATATCAGCATGCTCAGCCTGATATAAATCCTGGTTGTTCCCATCCTGCCCAGATGCACCACATTTCACTCCCAGTAATTGCAATTAACAAGCATCTTACAAGTACTTTTAATCCATACATACAGCTAACTCTAAATACATCTGAGAATATGTTCTTTTAATGCATGGAAATGCCTCCACAATAATGTATTGAAACAGCCATAATTAGCAAAGATTTTTATTATGTACAGACAGTCCTCAACGTACAACAGTTTATTTAGTGACTGTTCGAAATTACAATGGCAGTGAAAAAAGTGACCTATGGCCCTTTTTCACACTTACAATCACTGCAGCATCCTCGTGGTAACGTGATCAGAATTTGGACACTTGGCAACTGACTCATATTTATGATGGTTGCAGTGTTGTGGGGTCATGTGATCACATTCTGTGACCTTTTGACAAGCAAAGTCAACAGGGAAGCCAGATTCACTTAACAACCATGATACTAACTTAACAATTATTGTGGCAACAAAGGTCGTAAAATGGAGCAAAATTCACTTAACAAATGTTTCACTTAGCAACAGAAATGTTGGGGTAAATTGTGGTCATAAGTCGAGGACTACCTGTATTCTGAACTTTCAGGGTACCTACTATAGGATCCTCTCACTTACTAACTTATAGAACCGTAAGAAGGCAGCCTCTCAAATTGTCCTCCTAAGACAGTGATGGCGAACCTTTTAGAGACGGAGTGCCCAAAAACTGGCCCCGCCGCTGCTCTACCCCCTTGCCCTGCCCCTGCCCTGCCCCCACCCCATCCCTCACCCTGCCTGCCCG